TCGACACTTCACAATTATTTTTTTGAATTTTTGAAAAGAAAAATTAATCCCATGAAGTCTAGAACCAGCGAACCAACAATGGCTAGCTAGGTCAATTTGATGTGTCTCTGGAGCCCGGGCACAGAAGAAGCAGGATTCAACATCACGAGCCCAGGCACTAAGAACACAACCGTCATATTATAGAAAACCAACAACAACAACAATTGATACTTAAAACCCTAAAAATGAAAGAGAAAGAAGGAAGAATGAAATTGAGAAGAAATAAACACAATATGCCTCTTACTTGAGTCTTGTGGCTTCTTAGGAGTGTGATTCAATTGATCAAACAAGAAAAAAAATGGAGGAAGAATGGAAGAGAAGGAGAAGAGTGCCCTATGGCCTGGGAAGGAGAAGACGCACAAGAAGATGAGAGCGTGAAATCATATTGGGGTATTTTCGAAATTTTGTAATTTTCATTAAACTCAGCGGCTTCTTAAATCTGATTACTGTATAATCAGAAATTGAAAGCAGCTCATTAGCTGCTTTTCTTTATTGCTTTCTCCCACAGCAATTTTTAATAATAAGTGATTTTCTCATAGGTTACCAAACGGGTTGGGCTTCCTAAAATTTTAAAAAAATCACTTATCACCCTAAATAAGCAATGCCAAACGGGTACTTAATATAATGAGAATCTCCTATAACATATATAGAATATAAATAAGGAATCAAATTTAAGGATTTTTTTTCTTTCTTTTTTATTGTTTAATTTTTTATAATAAAAAATTTCTATTGAGAGGAGCGATAACATATTACGTGAATACTAGGACTCGAACCCAAGACCTTTCATAAAGAAGCAATTGTTCCAAATCACTACACTAATGGGTCATTTACTTTTTCTTTTTTAATACAAGCAATATAGAGAGGGGAGAATCAAATCTAGGACCTCGGATGCAAAGGTAAAACTCTTGAGCTATAAACCCCTTACTATTTAATGAATTTTTTTAACTTCAGTAATAATTGAAAAATATTTCACTATTCAAATTATTTTTTGGGTATTTTCTGTTTGTAGAAGGCCCAAGGGCCCAAAATTAAAATAAAATTGGGCCTTCTGGTCCATCTCATATACTCCAGGAAATATAGTGATGGATAGTGATACCAAAAAAGAGGAAAGGCCCAAATTGAAAATTACGTTTTGACCAAATAAATTAATAAAAATTACGTTAGCAATTCGTCTGACCAACAAAAAGAACTTTAAAATTGTGTTGGAACTTGGAAGCTTATAGCAGGAACATTGATGGGACATGTGGAAACTTGGAGAAATTATACAATATTACTGTAGTACAACGTCAGCAAATGCATCTTTTAGAGCACTTCTACTGCAAGGGTTTAGCCCAGGTAGGAGGGGGCCCTAAGCCCGCGAGACGACTCCAGCGCACACAAAGCAGCCCGGGCAAGACACTTGGGTACGCCCAAAGGGGGATCTAGCCCGTGCTATTGACTGAATTTGCTGACGCCAGGCTGGCGTTAGCGAGCTTTTAAAATTTGTTTTCTACTGCTACACAACACGTGGCAGCACCTGGGGCGTCCGATCAAATTTTCTATTGCAATCCAACGACTGCCGTTTTTTATGTAATAAAAATTAAAAAAAAATTTGAAAAAATACAAAAAACTTATAAATTTTTTTTCTATAAAGTTTAAATAATAAAATTAATTTTTAAAGTTGAAGTATAAAAAATACAAAATAAATTAAAGTGAAATTTAAATTAATTCACATGAATAATGACAGCCCTTGCCCTGCCCTTGCCCATAGAGGTGGAAGTGCTATTATTCAAATATAGCCACATGTCAATTTTGTACGGCTGGACTCTTTGTTATTCGAAAAAAAGGAAAAAGGAGAATATGTCCAATAGTTCTTGCAAACCTCCTTCTCCTCCTTTCCAACCCCACCACTTATCTCCTCATCGCGTATTCTCATTGTGTCCCCACTACTTATTTCTCCATTATCATAACCCGCTCACAGTAGTATGTGATGGGGAAATAAGTGGTGGGGACATAAGGAGAATATGTGATGGATAGATAAGTGGTGGGGTCGGATAAGTGGGTTGGAAAGGAGGAGAAGGAGGTTTGCAAGAACCATTGGACATATTCTCCTTTTTCCTTTTTTAATCTTTAGCAAACTTCCCCTTCCCCTTTCCAACCCACTTACTAGACACCCACCATTTATCTCTCTAGCACGAGAATTTATGCTGGGGAGATAAGTGGTGGTTGTCGGGTAAGTGGGTTGAAAGGGGGAATGAGAGGTTTGCAAGAACCTTGGGACATGTTCTCTTTTTTCCTTTTTTAATTCTTTTAATTTTAATTAAAAGAGTGCGCACAAGAAGAGGAGAGCGTGAAATCATATTGGGGTATTTTCGAAAATTTGTAATTTTCATTAAACTCAGTGGCTTCTCAAATCTAATTACCGTATAATCAGAAATTGAAAGCAGCTCATTAGCTGCTTTCCTTTATTGCTTTCTCCCACAACAATTTTTAATAATAAGTGATTTTCTCATAGGTTACCAAACGGGTTGGGCTTCCTAAAATTTTAAAAAAATCACTTATCACCCTAAATAAGCAATGCCAAACGGGTACTTAATATAATGAGAATCTCCTATAACATATATAGAATATAAATAAGGAATCAAATTTAAGGATTTTTTTTCTTTCTTTTTTATTGTTTAATTTTTTATAATAAAAAATTTCTATTGAGAGGAGCGATAACATATTACGTGAATACTAGGACTCGAACCCAAGACCTTTCATAAAGAAGCAATTGTTCCAAATCACTACACTAATGGGTCATTTACTTTTTCTTTTTTAATACAAGCAATATAGAGAGGGGAGAATCAAATCTAGGACCTCGGATGCAAAGGTAAAACTCTTGAGCTATAAACCCCTTACTATTTAATGAATTTTTTTAACTTCAGTAATAATTGAAAAATATTTCACTATTCAAATTATTTTTTGGGTATTTTCTGTTTGTAGAAGGCCCAAGGGCCCAAAATTAAAATAAAATTGGGCCTTCTGGTCCATCTCATATACTCCAGGAAATATAGTGATGGATAGTGATACCAAAAAAGAGGAAAGGCCCAAATTGAAAATTACGTTTTGACCAAATAAATTAATAAAAATTACGTTAGCAATTCGTCTGACCAACAAAAAGAACTTTAAAATTGTGTTGGAACTTGGAAGCTTATAGCAGGAACATTGATGGGACATGTGGAAACTTGGAGAAATTATACAATATTACTGTAGTACAACGTCAGCAAATGCATCTTTTAGAGCACTTCTACTGCAAGGGTTTAGCCCAGGTAGGAGGGGGCCCTAAGCCCGCGAGACGACTCCAGCGCACACAAAGCAGCCCGGGCAAGACACTTGGGTACGCCCAAAGGGGGATCTAGCCCGTGCTATTGACTGAATTTGCTGACGCCAGGCTGGCGTTAGCGAGCTTTTAAAATTTGTTTTCTACTGCTACACAACACGTGGCAGCACCTGGGGCGTCCGATCAAATTTTCTATTGCAATCCAACGACTGCCGTTTTTTATGTAATAAAAATTAAAAAAAAATTTGAAAAAATACAAAAAACTTATAAATTTTTTTTCTATAAAGTTTAAATAATAAAATTAATTTTTAAAGTTGAAGTATAAAAAATACAAAATAAATTAAAGTGAAATTTAAATTAATTCACATGAATAATGACAGCCCTTGCCCTGCCCTTGCCCATAGAGGTGGAAGTGCTATTATTCAAATATAGCCACATGTCAATTTTGTACGGCTGGACTCTTTGTTATTCGAAAAAAAGGAAAAAGGAGAATATGTCCAATAGTTCTTGCAAACCTCCTTCTCCTCCTTTCCAACCCACTTATCCGACCCCACCACTTATCTATCCATCACATATTCTCCTTATGTCCCCACCACTTATTTCCCCATCACATACTACTGTGAGCGGGTTATGATAATGGAGAAATAAGTAGTGGGGACACAATGAGAATACGCGATGAGGAGATAAGTGGTGGGGTTGGAAAGGAGGAGAAGGAGGTTTGCAAGAACCATTGGACATATTCTCCTTTTTCCTTTTTTAATCTTTAGCAAACTTCCCCTTCCCCTTTCCAACCCACTTACTAGACACCCACCATTTATCTCTCTAGCACGAGAATTTATGCTGGGGAGATAAGTGGTGGTTGTCGGGTAAGTGGGTTGAAAGGGGGAATGAGAGGTTTGCAAGAACCTTGGGACATGTTCTCTTTTTTCCTTTTTTAATTCTTTTAATTTTAATTAAAAGAGTACAAATGATGAAGAGTCTAGCTGTACAAAAATTGATATATGATGTATTTATTGACATGGTACCACGGTAGTATTGTATAATTCCTTGGAAACTTGGGTCCGGTACTTAAATTAAGAGATATTTAGTCAAATACCCATTTTTAGCACTAAAACTATAAATAAACCCTACACCATTTAATTTCTATAAACAAACCCAAAAAACACCCAAAAAATGCCAATTGGCCCTATTGAATTTAATTTTGATTATTAAATTACTTTGATGCCCTATTGAGTGTTTTGGGCTTTTTTATATGTTTTGGGGTTGAGTTTGTTTTAAGAAATCAATGACAATTTTGTAATTTAAAAGGAGTTAAAAGCCTTTTTGTTATGTTGTAAATGAGCTTTGGGTGTGTTTATAAAGTCCATTTCATATAGGGTATTTTTATAATTTGAGCTCCTATATTGGGTATAATAGTGAATCTCCCTTAAATTAATGTCTTCTGGCTAGCATCAACTCTATTATTATTATATATAAACGAACAAATTTATGTTACGATCATCATGTCGTAAAGTCATCACCTACCCTAGCATAATACTGCCTTTAATTATTTCTTAACGTAATCTTTTATTGTTTTGTACTTGTTTGATTATTTTTTAAGTCTTAATCTCATCCTGGTGCTCTGTTTAATTAACATATTATATATGCTCTCGTTATGTCCAGTAGATCCAAATCTATCCAGGTTTTGAGTTGATATTACAAAGGTGCAAACAGTAATTTTCTTTTCTTCATTATTTTATTTTGTATATATCAAAATCATAGCTGTTATTCTTAAATATCGGGAGGGGGAGCGCCTGAGCTGAGCTCACACAGCTGTAAACCGTTCTGTTTTCTTATTGGCGTGTGATTGGCAACAACAGCAGCCCCCTGGTCTGCTGCTTAATCAAAAGTGAAAGCTGCTTGAGTTGAAATTGAAATTAAATTTGAGAAATGGCGACGTTGACAGAATGGCAGTTACCGTACAGAATATTAGGGGCAGAGGAAGAAGAAGAAAGCTCATCATCAACGACATCGGATCCAACGGACGCAGTGGCATTCGTGGGGCTGTGTTTGGTGTTAGGAATCGCTTGCAGGCATCTGTTGCGTGGTACCAGAGTACCCTACACTGTCGCTTTGCTCATCCTTGGCGTTGCCCTCGGTTCCATAGGTCTCTCTCTCTCCCTCACTCTCTTTATTTACATTTTTTTTTCTTGGCACTTTATTATTATAGCATTAGCTTGCAGAATATCATTTCAATTTTCCGACTAAGTTGTTAAAATTTCATCTTTGCTGGTTTCAGTGCTTTGATTATTGACAAATAAATAAATAAATTTAAGAGCATTTTGTTTTTATTTTTGAGTTTTTTCTTACTTGTAGGAATAGTAGTGGCCTTCTGGAAAAAGAAAAAAAAGTAATAGTCGTGGCCTGGCTCAGGAATTTTTCAAGACCGTCTAAATTCAGTGGGTTTTGGGTGATTTGTGGGGGCCAAGAATTTAAAAAAGAGATATTTAGTCATATACCCATTTTTAGCACTAATAATATAGATGAACACTACACTATTTAATTTTTATAAACAAACCCAAAATTACTTTATTCTTTGTCTGCCCATATCAGATGGTGGATACTCTCGCTTGTGTCCTTAGTTATATTGTGAAAAAAAGGGTTATTCGTTTTATTAGTTTCTGAACTTAGACCTGATTTGCATTTGAGTCCCTCAATTTCGAAAATCGTTCCCGTGGTCCTTCAACTTCAGTTTCATTAGGACAAATGGTCCAATTGCCAATTTTATTATCTTTTCTGTTAAATGCAGGGGTAAAATGGTATTTTTATATTTTTATAATTTTAAATTGATTAAAATATGAATAAAATATTTTTAACAAATTCAAGTTTTTAGGAATAAGAACTAATTTTTAATTTTTAGTTTGATTGAGGGTAGGAATAAGATTTTTTAATTTTTAGTTTCTAATTTTTAATTTTATTTTTTGGGTGAAAGGAATATTCAGAAATTGGAAATTAAAAATAATACAAAAAAATCATTTTACCTCTGCATTTAACAGAAAAAGTTAACAAAATTGACGGCAGGACCATTTGTCCTAACAAAACTAAAGTTGAAGGACCACGGGAACAATTTTGGAAATTGAGGGACTCAAATACAAATTGGGTCCAAGTTCAGGGACTAATAAAAGGAATAACCCTAAAAAAAAATTCACTGGGAGTTGCTTTGGTGAAAATTCTAGTCGTTGCAGCTGGTTTTATCTGTTGTTAAATTGTTTGTTCCAATTTAATTAACGATCCATAAACATGCAGAATATGGTACACATCATCAACTGGGGAAGATTGGGGAAGGCATTCGAATTTGTAAGTTCCAGCTACATCTTTTCTGCTGACATAGCACTGCAACGCCTATTATAGGCTTTGACTTGGACTGGTTTCTCTCTTCCACCTCTTATAAACAGTTTTACTGTTCATCTTATTGTGCAGGGGCAAATATTGATCCTGACCTTCTATTGGCTGTTTTTCTTCCCGCCCTTCTTTTTGAGAGTTCGTTTTCTATGGAAGTGCACCAAATAAAGGTTCCTTTTTGTGGTCCTATAATTTCTATTTGTGAAATGCACGTAAATTATAAGGCTGCTATGCATTTTTCAAAACCAACTTTACAATTCTGTGGTTATGGCTTCACACAATCAATGACAGTTTGAGACACATCTATACAAATAAGAAGAACAAACTTTCTTTTGGTGCAATTCTAGCTTGTAGTTTCGTGCAAAGTCACTGTTCAATTTGAAATTGTGTCAGACATGAAATGAACTGGCAGATTTTTCCATTTTTCATGTAGAGGTGTATGGTACAAATGATTATACTGGCTGGTCCGGGTGTTCTAATATCAACTTTCTGTCTCGGATCTGCTTTGAAGGTATCCTACACTTTGCTAATTAGACTATATGTTTGTGCTATATAATATTGTGATATACAACTGCAGCTCACTTTCCCTTATGGCTGGAGTTGGAAAACATCATTGTTGCTTGGGGGGCTTCTCAGCGCTACTGATCCTGTGGCTGTTGTTGCACTATTAAAAGAGCTTGGTGCAAGCAAAAAACTGAGTACAATAATTGAGGGAGAATCCTTGATGAATGATGGGTATAGATTTTAAGTGACCTAACACTATTTCTAGTCAGATAATCTCATTTCTCTACTCTTCAATATTTTGTGTAGGTAAAACCCATGGGTGGTTGCTGTTGTTGTTACTTACAATCTTGAGTAATTATGCTTTTCATATTTCCTCTTATCTGAATGTGTTTAATTTCGTCCAGGACAGCAATTGTGGTTTATCAGCTATTTTATCAAATGGTTCTTGGAAAAAGCTATGACTGGGCGGAAATAATTAAATTTCTATCTCAAGTCTCACTTGGAGCGTATGTCTCACATATTTCTTTGAGCAAAGATGGCTCGATTTCTTCTGGTTATATAACGCTTTTATTCGTCCAGTGTAGGCATTGGTCTTGCTTATGGTATAGTATCTGTCCTCTGGCTCGGGTTCATTTTCAATGACACTGTGATAGAGATCACACTAACACTTGCTGTCAGCTACGTTGCTTACTTCACTGTATGTTCAAAAAATTGGGATGCCTCATTTTTTAGGTTCATATGATTATTATTCCTAATTTCTGGTTGGTATGTCAGAATATTCATATGAATTTCGTGCTAAATTCTTACTATTGAAACCTGTCATACAAATGCTATAGTTGACTACTTTTATGTATGATCCTTTCCAAATTTATGTCTTATATATTTTTTGATGTTTTTGTGCCTGTTCGATGTATAAAATTTTCAAAAGAACCATTGCAACCTGTCAACTATAAACTATGTTTCACACGGATTATTTGAAGCATAAAGATGGTTGATGTTTTTACAGTAAACATATTTCTGAATTTATAATGCATTTCACATATCTAGAAAAAAAAATTGCATTTATTTGGGTGCAACAGGCTCAAGAGGGTGTTGAAGTGTCTGGTGTCTTGACAGTGATGACTTTAGGAATGTAAGCTGGAATGCTCAATAAGATTTGATTACACACTGGAGAATACATTTGTCTTAATATTATAATCTGTGGACAGGTTTTATGCTGCGGTTGCGAGGACAGCTTTTAAGGGTGAAAGCCAACAAAGCTTACATCATTTCTGGTATGTCTTGTGGTTGTCGCTCGCTATCACTTTGATCTAGAGCAGTCTGTTTGTTTAAATAAAGTTCCAAGTGATGAGTTGATTCATCTTTGTTGTTTTTACTCTCTCGAACAGAAAGATACAAGAATTATGTGAATTAGGGATTTTCTAAACAATACACATTGTCTATTGTCCTAAGTATGTCAATAACTAATTTAGACATTTATTGGAGTATACCTGTCAGTGATTTATGGCATGCTGGTGGAACTTGGTAGAGATATATAAGGTCCATAAAGAAAATGCGAGCTCAAAAATGTCTCCTTGAATCTACTCTTTATAAAATGTTATGTGCTCATGCTTTAGGCATCTTTTTCGCAGGGAAATGGTTGCTTATATTGCTAATACCTTAATTTTCATCTTAAGGTAAGTGCATATCCAACGCTCTTAAATTCCATTTTGTTTGGTGCCAATAATAAAAGGAAATCAGCATAAATTTTAGCACTTGTTTGGTACCATGTGCTTGATCATGAGCTACATATATTAAAACACATATTTTCTCCTATGCTTTTCAGTGGAGTCGTTATAGCTGAAGGAGTTCTTAGCGGTGAAAATATTCTTGATAATGGTAATCCTTACTTTTTGAAATACAGATATGCATTTATGTATTCATTTTTGCATGCTTAAATTTATGTACATGCTTGGTCATAATTGCACAGAGATGGATGCGCACACACACAAATATAATATATAGGGCCGATCAGATGTGGACTCTGCGAAAATACAAAGGATGGTCGATCGTTGCATTTTTGCATAATTTTCTTGTTTCCCGCATTATTTCTTTGATATTCTGCACACTTAGCTCTTTAACTTTGCTGCTTGACTTTTTAAATATTTAGTTTTTATGTCATATGTTCTGATAGATATTTTTTCAACTTGTCTACCTGTTTCCCGTATTATATTCTTATCCTTCAATATAGGTTCCCTACCATAGGAATGAAGGGAAATAAAAAATTCCCTTGGGTGGTTAACTTTTTAGTTGACTATATGTTAAGCTTTTTGATCTTTCTGTTAACTTAGGAAAAAGACAGTTCCATACTACTAATGCTTACACAGTATGACTAGTTATTTATTATTATCAACTCTTTGTAACTCTAAATGTTTTTGTTTCAGGATATTCTTGGGCCTATCTCATTCTTCTTTATGTTTATGTACAAGTTTCCCGGTTCATAGTTGTTGGAGTGTCGTTTCCCTTACTTCGGTATTTTGGCTATGGTTTGGATTGGAAAGAGGCTATAATCCTTATATGGTCAGGTCTGAGAGGGGCTGTAGCATTGTCACTCTCACTGTCAGTCAAGGCAAGCTGTCGTTAATTAAGATTTAATTTTATACAAAGGGAAAATTAACTTTACCTTGTTGGTATGGCCAAATTTCATTAGCACCCTGTGGTTAAAAATCTCTACTGTGTTGTTAGTTTCACTAATTGTTTGCTTTTAAGTTGGATGGTGCATTACAAAACGTTCTGGATGAACCAACAAGGACTTTGCAAAACCTCCATTATTGATGCTTTTGCTGAGGAAATATTTCATTCACACATCTACTCACCTGATTTGCTGTGTCAAACATTCAGTGATTGTGTAGTCTGTGCAATTCCATTAGTTTTTAGTGCATAATCTAACAAAAGGAACCAGTTTTTATAATTTTTTCCCCTTTTTTCTCTTTGAATGCTGATGATTTGTATTGCTTCTAATTTATTTTCCTTTATTCTTGTAGCGTACTAGTGACAGCTCTTCGCTTCTCAGTTCTGACACAGGATTCTTGGTATGCCTACGGAACATGAACGCACACCCATTCAGAGACATTTTTTTATATGATTATTAAAGCTGGTTTTTTTATACATCAACATAGAATCGTTTTCACCTCTGCAGTTTGTTTTCTTCACTAGTGGAATCGTCTTCTTGACACTAATTGTGAATGGTTCAACCACGCAATTTGTTTTACGCCTTCTAGATATGGACAAGCTATCAGCAGCTAAGGTGAGGATTTAACTGTCCCTCAAATTATATGCTGCATTCTCCCTGTACAGCTTTATGTCTCCCTTTCTTTGTTTTGGGATTATAATTTTTAAATAATTGCTCAATATTTATGTCATGCAGCTCTAAACCCATATGAAAGTACATTGTAATTTTCAAGCTTAGTTACAGGTGGTCTATCTTTGGGCACTTTTCCCAACACTGGGATTGGTGGATACAATCCGAAAACTCCCAAACAGATTATAGTATTGACCGCACAACAAGATCTATAGGTGGATTAGCATAGCTGTAGGTTAGTGATGTTAGGCGTTCAACATTATTGGTAAGGATCCAGTATGTCATTGACCTAAAATTGATCCTTGTATTCTCGAGTTGAGATAGTCAAGGTCCAACAATCGAGATGATGTGAACGTTTTGATTTACTGACGTAAGAGCAGTATGGTGTTTATGTGGTTCACTTGTCGGAAAGAATACATGATATTACAGTTCAGTGGCCTTCAAGCATTGTTAGGTATATCACCAACAGCCTGGGTTCCTCTAACACTCAATATATCTCCTGGATTTATATTTTATAGTATTTTATTCGAGTTTACATTAAATTTCAAGAACTTTTATTCTTTATTGGTGAGTCTGTTATACTTTGAATTCTATATATTCCACAAGAACCATATAAAGCACATTTTTTTATTAATGGCTCCATAAAGGCATTCCTGTTATGAATTTATATGTATATACTTTTGTTTTATAATAGAGGCGTGTACTGGAGTACACAAAATATGAAATGTTGAACAAAGCATTAGAGGCTTTTGGTGATCTTGGAGATGATGAGGAATTGGGACCGGCTGACTGGCCCACAGTGAAAAGATATATTGCAAGCTTAAATGATGTTGATAGCGATAGTAATCTGGATCTTACAAATTTGAAGGATATACGCGAACGTCTTTTGAATGGTAAATTTTTTAGTGTTTATATTTCAGTCCCAGTACTTATTTCTTTCTACACTTTTGTGCTATGCTTACAAGCTTAGGCATTTATATTTCGTAGATTTCTGTAAACATACATCTAAAATGCTTAAAGACACTTGTTTCCCGGAAAGAAACTTCTTGACATCATTTTGATGCATAACTTCCCATAGATCCAGCCATGGTGTGAAAATTAAAGGTTGCTATGTCTAACTGTGACCTCATTTGCTAATACAAAACCATTTCTTGTCTTAGGAGTACAAGCTGCTTACTGGAGCATGCTTGATGAGGGAAGGATTACACAATCTACTGCAAATATTTTGATGCAATCAGTAGATGAAGCAATTGACTTGGTTTCAGATGAGCCTCTGTGTGACTGGAAAGGTTTAAAAGCTCATGTTCATTTCCCGAATTACTACAAGTTCCTTCAAACAAGCATCTGCCCACAGAAGTTGGTAACCTATTTCACTGTGCAAAGGCTGGAATCTGCATGTTACATTTGTGCTTCCTTTCTTCGTGCCCATAGAATTGCAAGGCAGCAACTTCATGACTTTATAGGTGATAGTCTTCCTTACTAGTTAATACCTTTTGTGGTAATTGTTTTGGCAATTTTGAAAAGGAAATTTACTTTCTACCCTACATGCTTTTCTTCATGATATTTGCCCTTGTCACGTAGGAATGGAAATTGTTTTGGTTATTGTGGTAACCCTAAATTTTGAAAAATATATAATTATTCTACATCTGCTGATTTATTTAGGTGATAGTGAAGTCATTAATGAAAGTGAGGCAGAAGGAGAAGAAGCAAAAAATTTTCTGGAAGATGTTCGTGTCACATTTCCTCAGGTTTGTTAGTTAAGTTTCCATATGGTGTGCTATGATGATAAGTTGTGCTGGATTCTAGTTGGAGTTGTTTTATCCAAAGTCCATTGAACCTACCATACATATGGTTAAAACTTTTCTCACTGTATCCTTGCTTAGGAAGATTATTTTAGCATGAGATTGTCTTGTATGTATGAATACATTTGGAAGTTTCAGGTTTTACGTGTTGTGAAAACAAGACAAGTGACATACTCAGTTCTAAACCATTTAATTGATTATCTCCAAAACCTTGAGAAGGTTGGCCTATTGGAAGAAAAAGAGATGCTTCATCTTCATGATGCCGTCCAGGTCTGTTGGTGACTGTATGTCCTTTATAACTATTTAGTTTGTGCATCACTCTTTCATGATATTAGAATCTTTTTTTTTTTTTAATTTCCATGCAGACTGACTTGAAAAAGCTTCTAAGGAATCCCCCGTTAGTAAAGATTCCCAAAATAAATGATTTGATTAGTCTCCATCCTCTAATGGGGGCTCTTCCTTCTTCAGTTCGTGAACCACTTGAAGGTTCTACTAAGGAAACAATGAAATTGCGTGGGGTGACACTTTACAGGGAGGGCTCCAAGCCTACTGGTATTTGGCTTCTTTCCACTGGGGTAGTCAAGGTAATTGAAACTCTCATGCGAAACATTCTTTATTTCCTCAAGGACAATATCATGGATGAGAATTATTTTTGGCAGTGGATAAGTAAGAGCATAAAAAACAAGCACTCGCTGCATCCAACTTTTACTCATGGGAGTACTTTGGGACTATATGAAGTGCTAACCGGAAAGCCCTACATTTGTGACATGATCACAGATTCTGTGGTTCTCTGCTTTTGCATTGAAACTCACAAGATACTTTCAGTGCTTCGGTCAGATCCCTTAGTAGAAGACTTCCTCTGGCAGGTACTGTTTTACTAAAAATTTCATCTTGTTGCAGCTGCCAAAACTTGTAGGGCTGTATTTATTGTTATTAACTTCTAAAACAAAAGGTCAATGGAATTATTTTTGTCTTTGGCCTTTACATGTGGAACATGTATGGCAAATGTGAAATTACAATATGATGATATGAATTTTGGAAAATATTATGGATATATTATGATGTAACTGATTTTATTTAGTTCGACTTATTTTTAGGAAAGTGCCATTGCTCTTGTGAAACTTTTCCTTCCACAAATATTTGAGAAAATGGCAATGCAAGATTTGAGAGCTCTTGTTGCAGAAAGGTCAATGATGACCATTTACATAAGAGGAGAATCTTTTGAAATTCCTCACCATTCCATTGGGTTTCTATTAGAAGGTTTTGTTAAAACCCAAGGTGTCCAAGAAGAACTGATCACATCACCTGCACCTCTGCTGCCCGCACATGGTTACCAAAGCTTCCCAAATCTGGCAGCATCAGGTAATATAAACTTGTGTTTATATGTCATGTAGTGTTAGCATTAATCATCGGCATGGTTCAGACCTTGCCATAAATTGTGTAGTGTGGTTGAGTTGTATTAATCATCGGATTGCTGTTTCTTATCATCGTAGCTGGTTATGCCCAAGAGGATCCTTAACCCTTTTGTTTCTGATTGATGATAACAGGCACCAAGGGAGCCAGTTTTTCTCATCGAGGATCCAGTTATCTTGTTGAAACAAGATCAAGAGTGATTATATTCGACATTGCAGCATTTGAATCTGACAGAACTCTAATTAGAGGGCCATCCTCATTTGTATCACCTGTAGTTGATCACCCCCATAGATCTCCTAGCGGAGAACATAGTGGTTTTATGAGTTGGCCTGAACATTTCCAAAAGGCAAACCCTGAAGGGATTGACCAGCAAGCTAATAGCTTGTCAGCAAGGGCAATGCAGTTGAGCATTTATGGCAGCATGGTATGTTCAGTTTCTTTATCATGTTCTTTAGTGCTTTGGGATATAATGGTGGTTTTTTTTATTTTTTTTTATTTTTATATATGTGGGATTTTGAAACCTATACAACCTTTAAGGCTCTTTTATCTTTTTGTTGGTTCAAGCAGTTTATCTATCTTCCAAAGAACAGTTCAATCCAAAAGCTTTTAGGATAGTCATCATCCAAAACTGTTTTAATTTGCTTCCTCTCTCTTTGGAAGGCATATTTGATATTTGAAAGTCTTGTTTGCTGGCAATTTAGGTCTTCTTTCTATTGACTAACTTCTTTTTTTTTTCGGTCATAATTGACTAACTTCTTTTCTTATGTTGTTTCACAAACAAAGGAGAATCTCCGGCGGCCCACCAGAAGTTTTCCAAGAAGCGGTCGCATTAAGCCATTACACACCGTGTCATATCCAAGTGTTCCAGCATATCAGGGCCCTCCACATAATGTCTCATATCCGAGTGTTCCATCATATCATGACCGTCCGCTTGTTTCTGTCAGATCGGAAGGGGCTACAACTGTCAGAAAGAACCTTGAAGTGAGAAAATTCACTGGAAAAATGAGTCCTCCAGAACCAGGGGAGCAAAGTAGAGACCCTCATAAGAGTCGTGTGGTAGTGGAAGATTATTCCAGTGATGAATCAGGTGGTGAGGATGATGTAATAGTGAAAATTGATTCACCAAGTAGGCTCTCTTTCCGCCATGCTCCTTGAGCTTGAATTGATTATTGAACATCCCAAAAGTCGACGATTCTAATTTATTATATCATGGGAGACAACTTGGCCCAACCTCACATTCTAGCAACCGAGACTAATCATAAAGGGGCGGTTTTGGGAAGGACCAAAACTACGGAGCCAACTGGTTTCACACCGGGGGAACAACATCCGGAGCAACGACCCCAACAGTTTGGAAGATATCTTGAGAAAATATTTCTATCAAGTGATTGTAATTTCTCTCTTGTTATTCTATCAAAATCGTTTCTATTTCTGAGCATGAACAAGTAGTATAAAAATCGACTTGGGCCTTCAAAATTGTTATAATGATCTCTTTCTTTTTTCATCGAGACAAAATTATTTACGTGTCCTAACAGTTTTGCTTCTACATGAGAAAGAACTTTATCACATCGTAGACCCAAAAAAAAAAAAAAAACACTTTAACCAATCTAAGTAGCATCTTATTTCAATATTCCACCAAAATATAGCCTTCCTTCCTTCAAGCCTCATAAAGCATTCCGACCTCAATCCGCTGAGGCGGAGGCACCCCTAGAGCAGGCAGAGCCGACCTACAGTTGCTGTGCAGAACTTCATAAAATGCCAGCATAATTCTATCAAACCAGCCACAGTTATGGCCAATATAAAACCTTGTCTTTCCTCTAACATGAACTACACCTGCACTCCTTGCTTCTTCCAAATCAGATATCTCTTCTTGGATCTCTGAAGGAATGGATGGAAGACGGCCTGAGCAGTTTTGTATATGTGCCTGCAAGCTATTTGTAACTTGACTAACAAAATCATCTCCTTCAAGGTTTAGGGGATCTGCATAGCCATACTGAATAACACACCCATAAACTCCTTTGAAGCCAAGTTTTTTTACGACAATCCTCTCATGAGGAGCAACCTTAGGAACCAATAGGTATTGAAGAGTAGTGAACATAGTGACCTGGTGAAGGGATTTCATGTTTTTAATGTAGTGTCCAAGAGTCGGAGTGAGGCCATCTTGAATGTTGGTGTAAAAGAAGCACAATCCAGGAACCCTTTGAACACTGGGGTCAGATAATAGCACACCAAGTCTGTCTAAGGTTATCTTATGAGTCAACTCATATTCTAATTTTCTCTGTCTCCCATAAAACCAACCAAACATAATGAAGGCAAGGATAAAGGATATGGCAAAAGGAATCCATCCACCTTCAGGGATCTTAGTGAAGACTGCACTCACGTAAACACCTTCCATGACAAAGAATACACAGAAGTAAAGAGCAACCAGCATAGGTGGTGTTCTCCATATTATGATCATTACCAGTGTCAGTAATATTGTGGTGATGAGCATGACTAGACTGACAACAACACCTGAAACAAGGTTGTCGCAATAATCAGAAAATGAAAAAAATACGTCCGTAACATGTTGACCAAAATGTTAATAAATTGGTAAACATAATCTGTGACTCTTGAAGGCAAATCAATATCAATATGCACGGTTTCAAGTTTAACACACCAAATGCATTGCCAATGTCTTTTCCATCCCCAAAAATAAGTATGACAACAACACAGAGAATCATGAGGATGTAGTTGACTTCAGGGGAGTAAACCTCTCCTTCTTTGCTATTGGATGTGTGCACAACCTTCACCCGAGGGAAATAATCAAGTACTACAGATTGCTTGATGACAGAAAACGTGGCTGATATTAGAGATTGGCTTGCAACTGTTGCAGCCAATGTGGCTATGATAAAGATAGGCCAGTAGATCGATTTTGGTATAAACTTAAAGAATCCATCATCATGATCATTTGGATTCCTGATCAGGTATGCTGTCTGCCCCGCATATGTCAGAACCAGAGATGGATAGATTGTAAACAAGAAAGCTATCTGTTGAGGAAAACATATCAGAAAGGCTAGTTAAAACAAGAAAAAAAAATATGGGAACCTTAAAGACAGAGAGATGGTATTGGAGGTAAACCTGAATGGAGCTTCGGTTGAAATGGCCAAGATCTGCAAACAATGCTTCGGAGCCTGAATAAAACAGGGAACACGGATTAAATAATTATTTCCAAACTACGAGGTACAGAAAATACTATTTTCATTATTAATTTCACCATGCTATGAATTCAATTAGTCCCGTTTCATTTTGTGTGGCTGGACTTGAGACTTCCAAAAATCTAAGAGCATATGATTCAAACGTAATCAAGTCTATTATTCATACTAAATAATCATGATATCAACATGATACTCACCTGTGATGCAAAGGACAGTGCCACCAAGCAACAGCCAGCCTTCCCTTCCATTTCTCCAAAAGAAACGGAAGATATAGTGTGGTGATATAGCCTTAAATATGCTTGGATAATGATGTATGATGCTATAAATTCCTACAAGTGGGGTACACAACGTCCATGCACCCATTATGGGGGAAAAAAGGAAGCTCACTCGAGATGTACCAAACTTTTGTAACAAGAACAGAATGATAAGGACTACTGCAGAAAGCGCTTCCACCACAGCTGCAAAATATAAACCAGAATGACAAGGACATTCAAATATGATTTAATAACTGAACGCAGAAGACCACAATAACCTGATACCACTAAAACAATTCTACTCCAATTTCCGGAACAGAAAACTGACCTACCTGGCTTCCTGGGAAATTTCACAAGTCCCACTATCACATGGCTTAATTTATTTCCCTTCACCTCCATAATTGTCACTTCTATCTGTTTGTTCTTATCCTACCTGGTTTAACATTCCCAGCACAAACATGTATCGCATAACAACTATTGTTTCTCTTCCATGGTTTTATGATTGAATTTGAATAATATCTTTTGCTAAGATGAATTTATATATAAGCTCTTTAAAAAAAAAAAAAGGGCATCTGAATAAAGGTTCTTTTGATTGCATTTTATCCTAATTTACTGGAAGGACCAACAGTATTGAAAGCTCATTGTCATAGTTCAAACTTCCAATCATGCACATCAATACTTACAGGAACTCAGAGATGGAAAAGGAGCCCTTATTCCATCCATTGCTGACAAAACTGGAGATAAAAATTACAGAAGTTAAAAGAAATTTTTTAAAAATGCCTTTCCAAAATAAAAGAAAAACAGAACGCACAGTGAAATACCAGAGATTGCAGGTGTAAGAATACCATCTCCAATAACCATGCACGTGCCTAGCATAGCAATAAAAAGCAACACCCTTCTAGCAAAGACACTTTTTCTGAAAAACTTTGCAAGCCTACTCTGTTTTTCTGTGCCCTCATCCAAGAGAGAGGGTGAAAGACTTGAACTTGAATTTGTAGGCCTTGAAGTAAGCACGCCAATGTTCATATTCCTGCAAAGTGATGAATACAGGGCAAAAGTTCCACCTGCAAACAATTAATATCGCACAAGTCAAATTTCCAGGGATTAGTGAACTTGGATAAGCATATGCTTCGACGTACTACCATGGTTTCACAATTTTGCTATCTTTGAAATCATGCCTATTTACATGCTGATCACATCTCCACCAGATAGACAAACAAGAGGTTTTTCAATTGACAAACATGTAGCCATTTTCCATGCTGCAAAATCCCAATGGTTGGAAATAAAGCAAAATGACAACGGTCTTTTAAAGCATAACTCCAGTATGAACATCTTAAAGATGACATGTCTAACTTTTAGGAATAAACTCAAGATGTCTCCTTCTATCCATGAATCATGGCTTTGCAATGCTGATTTTACAACTTTCTGCATATGCATATGTGAAGTTATGAACTACAATTTTCAGCTCCCAAAGTTTCCAGTTACCTATCCCATCCCAAATGTAAGTAATGCATGCAAAATGAAAGAACAAAACGAACTAGAGTAACCACATCCATTCACACTAGTCATTATAAAAAATAAAGAATTTAAAAATTAAAAATCTGTACGAGGAACCAACCACTCGATGTGAAGAAAAAATAAATACATTGAAGACAAGACATAATAAACTTAAGGACGAATGATTTGAAAATAAAAATGTGAGCCTGTATGTACCTTCGCCCTGATCGTCGGCTTTGAGAGCAATGCTGGCATACTTGACAACCCCAATGAGACTGAGAGTCCAGAACATAATGCTGTAGATGCCCAAATAGTCATCTTCTGTTGGAGACTTGAGGTGCATCGAAGGGTATACATAGAGTGGGGATGTGACAAGCCCTCCAAAGACTACTCCCAGTGTCTTGTATGCAAGTATCAGAGTCTGCCACCTACCCTTCCCCTGAATCAGAGAAGTTATTTACAAGAAGAACCATGCTTCACATCATTCAAATATACAACCAATACTGGTGAAAGTAATTAACAGGAAAGCAGAAAACATGTTCAACTTAGCTAAAATTTAATCCTGACTAATTGAGTTGGTTCAATGGGTTCTTGTTTGTCATAATTGAAACACCAAGCAATCTTTCAAGTAATTGAAGTACAGCATTTTAGCAGAGGAGTGGAGTAGCATGTTCTGATCAAGCTACAATTGAATTGGATGTATTTGATAGCATGGTGTAAGTTGTAACCGTGTAAGAATAGGAGTTCAATTTTCCTGTGCCCAATTTCCATGTGCCTTTCCTGTTTCTTTCTTAATATTTCGCCACCTATCCCATACTTAACAGAGAGATCACGAAGGTTAACTCGAATTGATATTGAATAATAAAACAAATATTGAAAAGAAAACTTTGTTTTTAATGTATTCTTCATCTTCTTCCTCTGGCTTTCTAACCATCCAATGAGAAAAACCATCGATCAAAGTTCAAACCCCTCCCAATCCTTTCAGAAGTTGAAACAATAATAAAGCCCAAATTGGCACTCTTCCACCGTCTTGATCCCTCGCCATATCGATGTCTTCCCCTCCACCTTCAGGGGATTGTAGCCTACGCATCTGGTTCAAGGGTTAATCTAGCACTTTTACCCTTTGATCTCTCTGGTTTTGGCTTGAAGTCAAACAAACACACAAACGCAAACAAAACAACTCTCTCCCTCCCTCTCAATCCCTAAACTAATTTCCAAAATAAATTAGTAATTCTTATAGTTGCTGAAGAAACGCATAACATATTCTTCAAAGATCAATCCAAAAAATATTAATCAATTCTGTTATGTTCCTCGTGTTTCTCGATAACAAAACAAGTCAAAGATAATTAGAATTTGGGAGAAAGGGAAGAAAAGTAACAGACCTAATTTTCAAGGAAATTGTTAATGTGAATGAAGACCCAAACAAGATCGATAAGCCCGTGAAATTGCAGAGAGTTTTTGTTATTTTATTTATTTTATAAAATCTTTATTTTCATCTTTAATATTTGTTGTTTTGAAATTTGAACAATTAGTTAACGTGTGTTATCTCTAGGTTTAGTATGGGGACAGGTGGCGAAATATTAAGAAAGAAACAGGAAGGCACAGGAAATTGGGCACAGGAAAATTGAACTCAGAGAGAGAGAGAGAGAGAGAGAGAGAGAGAGAGCTGCAAGCGATTGGTGTGAGTGAGGACATGATATGCCGTATGTAAATAAAGTAAAACCTTATTATCGTTGTCTGTATCTGGACTAATAATACAGCCGTTCACATTGCGAGAGTGATTGAGACGACCATTGGTGGCAGAATCGACGACGACAAAAACCTCAGACTCAGTCACCGGCGGCGAGTCTGGTTGCGTTGGATGATCCATTAAAACAACACCACTAACACAAGTCGAGGAAAACAACAACAACAACAAAAAGAGACGTCTCTTGTTGAGTCTAAACCTCTGAGCCTCTGAGCCTCTAAGCCTCTTCTTGAGTCTTAACTTCGAGTCGGAGAGAAAAGTCGAAGAAGAAGGCCTTCCCTTCCCTTCCCTTCCCGTCCCTCTTCCCCTTATTTAATCTGTAAATTTTCAATTCAATTGTGATTTTGCAGAGTGAGTCGTCGTGTGTTCCAAAATCTAAAGTTTTATAGGTCTCCACGTGACTTCCACAGTTCCAAGTTCCAACGAGTGCGGACACACTACTATCGACTGGGTGGGTCCCACTCATATCGATGTTTTTGGGGTCCAACTATGCATTTGTATGTATCCATTCGTTCCACTGGATTGGACGTTTTCTTTTCTTTTATCTTTTTCTTTTCCCTTCACATAATAATAATAATAATAATAATAGTAATATATTATTTGTTGTAAAGAATGTGTTGGATTCCACATAAAGAAAATAAGGAAAATAATGATAAAGTTTGTCTGCCAACACCCATGTGAAGTCAAAGACTTTTGAGTGAGCAGCCATAGAATTCTGCCTATAAATAAGGCTTCCCCCTTCCTTTGCTTTTAGAACCAACCATTAGAGAAGAAAATGAGAGCCCAGATAGGAGAGGAAGGAAGAAAGAAAGAAGAGTGAGATGAAAGAAAAGAGAGTTGAGAGAAAAATTAGTGAGCCACAAAGATTGTAAATACTAAAGTTGTAACCTTATTATTTTACATAGTGGAAAAGTTATTGCTACTACTCTCTTAGGACGTAGGCATGGCCAAACCTTATTAAATATTGTGTTTTATTTCATTTACTTTACGTGCAGTTAAATATTCCTTAATATACCGTTTATTTTACAACATTATTATTATTATTATTATGCAATTTCCCTAACTAATGCCCCGTCACATCGATTGACCAAAACAACCTTAAATTTGATTGATTGATTGCATTAAGTAATCAAAGAAGAAGAAGAACAAAAACAAACAAAAGAGATGCTCTGCTGATTACAAAAATTCCACTAATAATAATAAATCGTGAGGGAGGAGATACTTGTATAGTCAATTATATACATGGACTTAATAAGAATTCCATTCAAAAAAGGCTAATCCATCTAATTAACAGTTGATCATAGAATTAGCTATGCCATCGTCAATCTTTCTTTTTTTTTTGGGTTTTTTTTTTTTTTTTTTTTGGTTTTTTTTTTTTTTTGGTTTTTTTTTTTTTTTGGTTTTTTTTTTTTTTTGGTTTTTTTTTTTTTTTGGTTTTTTTTTTTTTTTGGTTTTTTTTTTTTTTTGGTTTTTTTTTTTTTTTGGTTTTTTTTTTTTTTTGGTTTTTTTTTTTTTTTGGTTTTTTTTTTTTTTTGGTTTTTTTTTTTTTTTGGTTTTTTTTTTTTTTTGGTTTTTTTTTTTTTTTGGTTTTTTTTTTTTTTTTTTTGCGAACATCGTCAATGAAGTTCAAGTAATGTTGGTCAAAGCACACGTGTGGAGGTTGCTCCTTTTGTTCTTCTTTTCCTTAAAGCCATGCCCAAATCACACGTTGAAGTTGAACTATTCACCCTTCCAATTTTGAGGTCAGAATGAGTCATCCATGATAAGGAGTTTGGCCTTCACATTCTATATGATACTCCTTTTTATCTCATTATTTTATTTTATGATAGAAAGAAACAGTTTGTTTAGGCTTAAGAGTTGTAAGAATTTTCAGACCCCGAAAAGAAAGGAGTTGTTTTAGCTGGGTCCTAATTTACAATAATAAATAAAGGAGTTGTTTTAACTTAACCCTAATGCATCTATCCAGCAAACGAGCATTGAGCGAACGAGGGTCTTTTGATTGCTCTAAATCTTTGATAGGTAAAGATCACTAACTGGGAATAATTATTGAATATCACACGACATTAAAATACGCAAACCTAGAAGTAAATCTAGATACGTAACTAAACTAGTGAAATCCTCCAACTCAAATAAGAGATCAAAGTCTAAAATAAAATAAAAAGGCCTAACTTTTGTTTTTTGACAAAACGACAAGAGTATTTTATTGATGAGAGGGAAGAACATCTCCTAACTTAAATAAGTAATTATGCATTGTAAAGAGTAAAAACAACTAATTATTCAAGTAGACCAATCATCATCTAGCACATATGCCAAATTAGGGCAAGTATTGTTACGGAAACGTCATATATGAAACGAATATATGTACTGGTTCGGTTTTAAAGCCTATGTTCAATGTCGAAGATGGCGACAAAATTCCACTAATAACAAAAGAGATTGCAAAAGAAATTGTGCAAGCTCTCACAAACTCAAATCTCTCACACATATGAGTCAATAACAATATTCAAATTTTTACTCACAAGCAAATATTAAAAAAGAACAAATACAAATGTGTAAAACAACTCTCGAGAAAAAGAGCAAACAGTAACCAATTAAAAATAAATAAAAGAGAGAACCTTACAAAACTCAACAAAGTTACTAGCACACTCCTAATACAAAAAGAGAGAGTTTCTCTCTTACAAATGGTGCCATAGTAAAAAAAACCCAACCAAACATATGGCAAACAAGCCAAAAGAAAAGAAAACTTGTTATAAACCTAGAGAAATTGTGGAGAGAATTTAGAGACAGAGAAAGGAATGATGAACCCTTTTATAGGCAAAGCCTTGGCTAATAACCAAAGAAGGAAGGCTTCAAGAAGGTGTAAGGAAATTTCCTTCTAACATGTGAGCTCCACTTTTAAATTTTTACAACACTCCCCTTTGGAGACCACAATCTATGGAATATGCCTCGTTAAAAACATGGACAGTAAAACTCAGTGGGATAAAAACTAATTGAAGGGAAAAAGAGTGCATAACCATGTGTAACATAAAATTCTGTGTATAGAACACTAACACGCGTTCAACACTGCCTCGTTAAAACCTTGTCAGGAAAAACCCAGTGGGACAAAAATCTGGATGAAGGAAAAAGAGTACAGTGTGTGAAGATCTTTATTGATGGCACGCTCCCCCTGATGTTTGTAAAATACCCTTAAGCCATACTGTTGATCATCTTTCTGAATGTCATAGTTGGCATTGCTTATGTGAGTCAATCTTGTAATATTGTTGGATGCTCCCCCTGAAGAATTACTTCCCTTGATGTATTCATACTTGATAAGTCCATAAATATACTCATTTATGTACTATCTACAAACTTGCGAAAGCGAGCTCTACGTATTTTTCCCACTCAAATCCCAAAAATCCTTACGGATCGAATAGTGACTAAAGTGACCCTACCCCAAAGGCAAAATTGAAATTTCACATTTAAATAAATTGAATAAACGGTTAAAATTGGGTCGGGGTATAACATTAGAGCAATGTCTTTTTTCTTGACTGCCCTACAGTCCCTTGAAATCACAGGAGGCATGATTAAGGATAGTCTCGCCTCTCAAGTATATTGAGCGCTCATTGATAGGAAAACCAAGTTGATATTGCATCATTAGATAAGGAGAAAACTGGGTGTATTCTGCAAAGAAATTTCATTAGTAACAGATTTATACACAAATTAGAGGAATAATTTGATCCGGTGAATCTCAAATTAACTACATAAACTTTTGAGGTTCTCGAGACACTTTTGAAAAAATGACACCATGAAATCCGTAAGGATAATATTCGATTGACAATAATTGTCCTTATGACCTCTGAATAGCCGACATAGTATAATGGAGGCTGTTGTTAATAATATGTTAACTCGCAATTGTACGGGGCAATTAGTAGTATAGCAAGACAAGTACGAGGTCGTACCCACGAAGACTGAGAAGTTCAAATTAGTTATGTACTTTAGATTACCAAATTCAAGAAGTTAGGAAGTTAAATCTAAAACAGAATTTAAAGCAAGAGTGAGTTTGAAAACAAATGCAGCAAGATTAAAATGAACTTTGAAGTGAGAATGCTTGTGATTATAGAAAGAAATGAACAAACTGAAATTGCAACGGAAAGCAAGTAAACAAAAGTAACAAAGGGTGGTTTTGAAAGTTAAAACACAGGTTTGGAGACTAGGGCATTCGATTCACCATAACAATTCAATTCTGGGTTATAAAGATTCAAGTAACAAGTCTAATTCAGATTCAAAGATTGATTCTAGCTAAAGTATGATTAGGCCATGGTGTTTGGTCCTAACCTTGTGTTCCTAATTCCCTAATTTGATCATTTGTTGTCTAACCTAAAATTAAGCATTAAGAACCCATTAAGCATAGAAGAACATTTTAAACAACCAAGCATGTATCTAATCCCTGTTGTCGAATGTCCATACATACTCTTCCTATTCATAGTTCAATTCGAATTAAAGCATGGTGAATACTCTTAATTCAAACCAAGATAGTTAACAAACAAGTTCTAATGGTGATCAATCATTCAAACAAGCATGTTAACTTATAAGCACAATGAATAAGAACATGAATC